TAACAATGACATACAAATAAATAAACAGCTTTTTCATATCTGGTATGAGGGGGGAGGCGGGTAAAAAGGAAACAGTACTACTGTTTTTAATTCAGTTACATGATTATTCAATGTAATATTTATTTTATTTTCAGTATGATATTTGGTTAAGAATAACATTGATTTATAAGTAGAGATGGATGATGATTAGCAGTCAAATCTAGGACGTGCGTTTCGTCCCATCATGGGACTCGTCAGCTAGATGTGCCTGCATCCTAGAGTTGATGTTCACTCCGTGACTTAAACCTAATACCATTTACTTCAAAACAGAAAGAAACGTATGTCCTGGATTCCATTGCTAGCCACCATCTATCTTTGCTTATAATGTTTGTAACTTAAGGCAATCCTCACAGGAAGCACATATCTCAATAAGAGGACTGATCAATTGTAGTCCTAAAACATCAATCGGAAGATTCAAACAACCAATACAAAAACGAAATAACAATGATTTACTTCCGTGTGATGTTCATTCAAGATACAATTTTCCGTGTATCAAATTAACATGGATAATGTTTAGCATAACATACAGCATGTGATTTGTTATAATTATGAGCATTTTATTTTTACATATGTAACTCTTTTCTAATTAATGAACGTACAAATCAATCTATACATGGGTGTATTTTTGAGTGGAAACATACTCAACGTTGTTACGACAACTTAGTGTATCTTAGGCTGCGATAATGGTCATGTTTACGTTCATGTAGTCAATCGAATTGTCAAATTGATGTAATTTATATTAAAAAGCTACATTATGCCATGAATTTCCCTATGGCTGTACATTTTTATTCATTACATCAGACTGTGACGTCGGACACGCATTAGATACTGGATTGATATGCCAAGTCATAGAAAGCTTAATAAATGTTGTGGTTGTTTTGAAATAGACCGTCAGTGAATCATGTTAGTGAGGATACGTTTGACGTCAAGTTTAATTCTTGGTGTTGATTCAAAAAATATTTGGCGCCAACACTTAGAGTATCACATAAGTTGCGGGATTTCAGCACACTAAAGGATTAAATTTTGCAGCAACACGAAAAGGCCAATGGACAAACACAGAACGAGGCAAGCCGAAGACGATAATTCCCGCTTCATTCTGATTGGTCTCTAAGTAGACTGCCGAAAGTGTGAACTGGAGTTGAGTTTATTTCCAGCCGTACCTTCGACCACATTCATCTTCGCGTTGTTTTAGAGGGAATAAACCTCCGCTTGAGCTAGTCTTTTGTGTTCTTACTTCGCATTGTGGGAATTGTAGTGGTCCCACGTTTCAGGTATAAGTAATAAGCGACCCGGATACAAAAGTATTGTATTATCTTGCGATCTTATTGTAAACAAAATAAGCACGGTTGAATAAGACTTTCGTGTAATTTCATTATTTATGCTTGATATCTTCTTTGATAGCGTCGGTTTCGATCATGTTCCTCCTTGAAGAAGTTCGGATGGTACTTCAGGTGAAACGTTGGAATTAGCTAAATTTTGCTAAAATTATCTAAATACAATTTATTACACTAATCGTCTTCTATATAATCGACAACCAATCTCTATCAAATTATTCGCTCAAATTTTGACAAGTGTTCATTTCAAATATCCTAATGAATTATTATTATATATATATATATATATCTTATTATATAATTATTAAATACTCAGATTATTACATTTTGATATCCTTCTGTTTTAATCTTTCATTTTGCCCCCAAATGTCCTAGTACGGCCGATTATGAAGAGTCCACTCTCCCTCTCAAAATGCTCTCACATAGCCACGCCTATACAACCACTACCAGGAAAGTCCTACTCACTGCCTACTCGCGGCATTACTGTTATTTACGAAATTGAGAGGACAAAAAGCGGATGTCCGGCGCTTTGACCGGGTTAGTGGATATGGAGGTTCCACCTAGGGGAGTTGGTAAACCCTGATTCCAAGCCAATAGCGTACATGGGCTCCAGGATCATGAGGGAACAACTGACATATGAACCTATTGTTGGTCATCGGCTACCATTTGACTGCATCTCTTGACGTTGCTCCATTGCCTTGTGGATCAGGTCGAAGGCTACGTGTGTGGCCCTCTAAAAAAACCATCTGCTTCGGTCTGGACACCCGAGTAGTACCACAGCTCACACACAGAAACCAAGTGACTTGTGTAGCGCATATGTATTTGGTGCCCCTTTGTACCAATATTCATGTGTTCAAATAAACAAATTTTATTTGGCACATAAACTATTGTTGTACGTTTTACTTAAGTTATTATTAATTAATTACAAACCTATTACTTAGTTTCTCTTTCACCTATGATATAATAATGCTCCCACTGTGATATCGTATTTATTTTTAATCAAAAATAAATCACTCTATATTATCGTATAAATTGACTAAGACGCAAGAACTACTGCATAACAGATAACATATATGTTTCCTATCTTCATCTTTTAATTAAGGAATAGGATAGAAGGAACTCGAAGATCAATAGACATTAAGGTCACGATCGTTATCATTGATCTTACAAGCGATATAAACAAAATGGTTAATAAGTGAATACAATAACTAACTGGAACTATAAAAACCAATGTTTTTTTCACAATATAATACATTGTATACACTCAAACAATCGAAAACAATGAATATATTAAATTCTGTTATATGTTAAAATGTTAATAATGAACGATTTTTAGTATCAAATCAAGTCGTTTTACAATAAGACCCGATAATCAAAGAATTCACACTTTAGTAACTATGGAAAAGAATGAATTTTAATGTATTTAAGTTGGATTAAAGTTATGTCAAATATAATAGATAATTGATCAAATTAAATCAGAATTGAATTAACTGTTTAAGGGAAATAATTAAAAGGTTTGATTACTTAAGTAATAAGATGTAAATTGGCAGGTAATATGCTATATATTGTATGCTAATCAATGGGAAGAGGATATTAACAAGGGATCACTTGATATTATTTTAAATGTCCATAAAAGTTACAACAACACTTTTCCTGAAACCCTGTTAGGGTTACTAGCTGTCCCGAATTCGGATAAAGGAGAAGAGTAGAGAAAGAGGTTAGCGACTACATCCCGTGGAAAAGAATCTTCTTAAAGAAATGTCTAACACTGTGTGATACTCAGTTAAATCCGATCAATTAATGATGTCTAATGAAAATATTTGATGGCATACGTTAAGAAGTACCAAGTCTCGAATGTTTTTTTAAAAACACACTATAACCAAGATTTCCAATTATGTAGACGATACGAGATTCCAATTAGTGTAGAGGTTCATGGGAAAGCACTCTATAAAAAGTGTCTACGAAGCACTCATCATTTAGAAATATGACGAATAATTACATTCTAAATGGTATTAGCAACAAAAAAGGACTTTAGCACATAATGTCTCGTCTGTTTAAGTGGAATAAGATAAATGCTGGGTCAAACTATGGCAAATAAACAACTACCTGCTCATTTTGTTTGTAATTAGTCTGTTTGTGGATTGGTTACATGACTGTGTACTTCGACTAGGATTAATATTGAGTTTAAAAGATTTCTTCGAAAAGTATACGGCAGCTTAATGTTATTAACACTCAAAAACCAAGTGTAACATAATAAAGCTAAATTGATTTTATTTTCAGTTCATTGACTTACTACCCATATGACCCGATTATATTTGAAAACTAAATAAACATTCATGTGACAACCACGCTTTACGGTACATGATTTAGTGTCTGAAGGCTAGGAATACTACTTAAGTGTCTAGTCGGTCGTCTACAAACTGTAGTAGATGAGGGGGATATTTGAATGTGAAATCCAGTAGCTAAACATCAAGTTCTTTAGCCACAAAGCTAACGTTCTCTTGGAGGAGATAATTATAACCTATATTATTATTATTACTTATCAGTAACTGATCAAACAAGATTTTCGTTATCAAAACATAAGTAGGATATGAACACTTGCCTAATGAATAAGTTTCTTTATAATTAATGTTATCTAGAAAGCACTGTACATTTCAGTATAAAAATCTATGAGGCTCGATTTGAGTTGGAATGAATTGGTGAAAGAAATAAAGATCAGAAGACAAAATATAGCGAGTGGGTTGTCTCTAATATGTTCCGGTCATATAAATTAGAGCTGTCACTAGCTTAATGAACAAATTAGATTAATTTCAAGTAAATTCGCATTAAAATGATTTCGAATAACAGCAGGATCAAATATAGATGTCCAGTATATGATCGTTTGAAAGTTAGATTGGTGGGATTAAATACCTTAACGGAACCAGGGGCTAAAATTGATGTGACTGATTTGCAAAATACAAGTTCATGAGCTCAGCTATAAGCCACATTGAGTGGGTGAGTGATGGCGATACTACTCGCTTACTCAAAACATAAGTGGGTAGTTCAGGGTTCGGACCCATAAGCTACTGAGTGAAAGCTAATTGCTTTAATTACTAAGCTATGTTAATATATTTTCTAAGCTCCAAGCAATAAAACAAACAACGTTTTGTATATTTTGCAATCCAATTATCTTATACATCTTATCCACAAGGAAAAAACGGAAGGGGAATTGATATAAAATGGGAACTCGGGAAATATGGAGTAAATAAAATCTAAAAGAGAATAGAGAACAGTTGTCGGTACATTTTGAAAAAGAAAAGAGAAAAATCAAACGGAATGTCTTAATACATATATTACTTGACTTTCGAACATCTTACTAAATATTAATAATACACAATCTATATTCAGTTAACAATGATATTACTAAGATACTTCAAGGCACCGGATTACCATCATGACAAGTGTGTTATTTTATCACGGGAAAACAGAATAGAACAAATAGAACAAAACATAAAAGAAATGTAGGTTATTTAAGTTAATTGACATAATGTTCATCTGAAGATAGTGTTAAATAAAACATAATGATTTAAAATATTCCAATAAAATCCATTAATATATGAAATCAATTTGTATAATTGGTTTACTGTGTTAAAGAGTCAATAATATATCATCTTGTTGTTCATCTGAATTCGACAGTAATAACTGTTTTTGTTCTAATGAATTTTCGCATATTGTTTCATTTTTTTTAGTTTTAAATCGTTCTGGTGAATCATTCGGTACAGGCATATATACTGGTTCAACAAGGCGAATTTGTGGACGATGACAATGAAGAACAATATAGTCCTGGATATGAAAGACAGAAGAATGATGATAACAGTAGTAAAAACTAGATATTCTATGATATTCCAGGGTAAAAAAATTACGTATGAACCTGATAGAATGCTGGACTGTTTATTCTAAATCTGTAAAAGTCTGTATCGATCGTGCTTTAACCTATATTTAAGCTGAAATCCTTTAGTTTTATCGGTGCTTTATTCATTTATTTTATTTATTCTATTTGTGTGTGGGCTGTGATACTACCCGGGTGCCCAAACCGAAGCAGGTGGTTTTCTCAGGGGGCCACACTCCGTCAGTCAGCTGCAACGTAGGACCAGACACATATATGAATCGGTCCAAGTTGCCATACCGCATTAGCACAACAACATGAACACCGGATTCATAGAAGTAGTCACTTCAAAGGTAGTAGTATATAAAAGAAAGATTGTGTATAAGGATATAATACAGGAAGAAATAATTAGTTCGTAGAAAGAAAAACATGAAGCGATCTTATTCTCTTAGTTTAAAGGAAGACAGAGAGTGTATACACCGACGCCATCGTGATCGATTCTGAGCCATGTCACCAAGAGTCTCCAACCATTGGTTACGATAGTCACGCGGACCCCAACCAGGTAGTCTGCATCTACCAACATGGCTCAAACCAGAAGTTAGTGACTTCAAGCTCTGATGTCACGTTTTGGTTTGGTCGCCCCTAACTTTCTTCCAATTATCACTGACACCGGTTAGCATTGCGCGTCGTGATAATCGGTGTTCAGGCATACGCAGCACGTGGCCAAACCATCTCAGTCAATGAAGATTCATAACCTCATCAACTGATTTACCATCATTCCCTAATACCCTGCGTCTAACCTCACTATTACTTACCCGGTGATCCCAGCAATATTTCTAAGGCATCTGTGGTCAAATACTAGTAACTTAAGAATATCTTCTACTCTTAATAGCCATGTTTCGCAGCCGTATAGTAGAACGGAACGAACTGCCACGCAGTATACTCGACCCTTAATTGATAGACGGATATCTCGCCTTCGCCATAGGTTACGTAAGTTGGCGAAAGCCAAACGAGCTTTTAGAATTCGTGCTGAGATTTCGTCAGACACCAACCCATTAGGGCTGATCAGGCTTCCAAGATAAGTGAAGTTGTCAACGCGTTCGACTACTTCACTCCCTATCCTTAGTTCAGGTGTTGATTCAGACCAGTCCTGAAGCAACAACTTGCATTTAGAGGGAGAGAAGTGCATCCCAAACATTCTGGCATTGTTGCTCAGTGCTACTAAAAGACTCTGCATTTTATAAGCGTCTTCACCAAACAGGACTATGTCATCTGTGTATTCTAAGTCAATAAGTGAACCTCCTGGTAGGAGATCAATACCCGAGAATTCAGTCGATGAGAGCGTTATTTCCATCAGGAGGTCTATGATAAAGTTAAACAAAAATGGAGAAAGTGGACAGTCTTGCCAGACACCACTTGAGGTTGCAAAAGCGGATGACAGTTCGCCATAAGCTCTGACTCGACTTGTAGTGTTCGAGTAAAGAATCTTCATAAGGTTTATGTACTTCTGAGGTACGCCTTTCAATGACAGTCACTGCCACAGAACCTCTCGGTCTACAAAGTCAAACGTTGCTTTTAAGTCAAGGAATACCACCATTGTCGGACGCCGATAAGTATGCCTGTGTTCTAGAACCTGACGAATGGTGAATATGTGGTCGATGCAGCCACGACCAGGTCTGAAGCCAGCCTGATTTTCACGTGTTTGCAGTTCATGAGTCTTAGTTAGGCGTCCGAAAATTATCGAGGCTAGTATTTTAGATACTATATTAGTCAAACTAATCCCTCTATGGTTGTCACAGGATGATTTTGACCCTTTCTTAAATATTGGGACGATAAGTGATTGTGACCAGTTAGATGGGATAACGTCTAACTCCCAGATTTTAGCTAAAATATTAGTCAACCTAATCACTAAAACTAGACCACCATCCTTAAAGACCTCTGGGGCCAATCCATCTGGACCAGCTGCCCTTCCTCGGTTCAGATTAGCTATAGCCTTTTGAACTTCAGCTAGAGTTGGAGGACCTACTTCAATGTTCCGTTCACACTGTCTGGGAATGGTGGGTAGTTGTATAGTAGCTGAAGGCCAGCTGAACTGCTCCTTAAAGTGTTCCACCCATCGTTCTAAACGTTTGGACTGGAAGCAGATAAGAACGTCGTCTTTTTCCGAGATAGTCTCACTTACACCTGACTTTTTAGCTCCAGTTTCTTTTATGAGTCTGAAGAGCTGTCTTGTGTTCCCTATAGCCGCCGCCTTTTCCATCTCTTTTGCTTTCGTTGCCCACCACTGCTCACGATCATTCCTTAGACTTTTGGTTAACCTAGATCTGATTTGTTTTCGCTCATCATCGTGTTCAGATCCTGATGGAATGAGTTTACGAAAATCCATCAGTGTAATAGACCTTGAAGAAATCTATTGTTTCTTCGTAACCCTTTGGTTTAAATCACTAATAGATGTCAGTGCTGTTCCCACAGCTGTTTGTATATCTTTCCAAGCAACATCAGGGTCAGCCTCGTTTTCAGAACTACCTAAATGCGACATCAGTTGTTCATGGAACCTACTTTTGCTTTTCTCGTTACTCAATTCAGTTCCAATGAGTCTTTTCTGCGTCCAGTGAGGTGCAAGCAGATGCGTGCTCGTATTAGGGCATGGTCGGAGTCTAAACAGGTTCTATCGACCCTCTCCAACGATGACTGATGGCAATATGATCTATTTGAGTTCATCGTTGATTTGGTGCAGGGGGTCACCATGTTAAACGGTGTCTCTCCTTATGCTTAAAATTTGTGTTTGCTAAAAATAAACAGTCGTCTGAGCAGAGTTGTAGCAGACGATCACCATTATCTGTTCGCCGCGCCGGAATACTAAAATACCCTCTTAAATGTCTTTCTGTTACGTTTAAGCTACCTACCTGGGCATTAAAGTCATCTGCTACGAGTACTATGTCTGAACGTTTAGCTTTCTGAAGAAGTTCAGAGAGTTTTCTGTTAGGTCCATCTTTCACTTTATCCGAACTGCAGTCAGTGGGAGCGTAGGCAGAAACGACGAAAAGGCAACGATGTGTGTCCCTATCCTTTCGAGTTCTTACAGAGCCGTTTAGCCGAACAGCGCATAGACGACTGTTAACAGGGATTCACTCTAATAGCGCTTGTTCTGCCCTCATGCTTAGTGCTATGCCTACACCTGCCAGTCCACGAGAACTAGCCATCGGAGGGTGTATATCGTCGGCTCTCCGTTTTGCCGAGGTGAGGTCAAGTGAATGACCGCACTGTATGCGTGTTTCGGAGACACAGCATACATCAATTGTACGAGACTTTAGGGTTTTAGCCAAGGATGCTTGCTAACCAATTTGACATAGTGTGCGTACGTTGAATGCTCCAATATGTAGTTTGGAGCGAGGTTTCAGTAGACCTGGGACAGCGTTTTGAGCACTAGAATCGTTGGCTATAGTGATACTTGAGGAGGAAACCAAAGGAGGAAGTTTAAGTTTGAAAGTCGATGTAGGAGGAATAATAGGAATTGAAGAGGGAGGTCGATTATGAATACAGTGGTCTTGAGTACTGTTAGAGGAATGAGGGCGGTTATTACTTCCCGGTTGCCCACACCGTGGAAAGGTTCTCCTGGAGGTACCTGAAAAGGAAATTGGATTAGAGGTGGTCATAGTGACCTGAGAGCGTGACCTTAGTTTCCAAGAGACAGCTGCTCAAGGTCGGTCACACACGACCTTTTTATGAGTAGTTTTTGTAATAGTTCCGTACTTGTTGAGACCTTACTGTCGGAGACGGATATCCGTGGAATAAGGCGGTGTGCATTTTTAGGGTCAACCTTTTCTAACCCCACCCCTCCTTGTGGGATGGCAGCATCGCTGTCATGCTGGTTGTCTGAAGGAAACACCTTACTGCTGTCACACCTCTGTACAGTCAGCAGTACGACTTCACCTTCGGACCTTGGATTAGATGCTTTTGGTTTTACAGCTCTTTAACCGACCTGTCTGGCATGGTAGGACCTTGAGGAACGGTTGTTCCAGCCAGTACAGCTCAGTTGCTTCATCACGATAGGCAAGCCCGACCATCACGTCAAGGTAGCAACGACGGTCGGGGCCACACCCCGAGCCTTTGACCTAAACGTCTGACCCACAAGGCAATGGAGCACCGTTAGGAGATGCAGTCTTATGGTAGCTGGTGACCAACAATTGCTTCATACGCCATTTGTTCCTTCAGTATACTAGAACCTATGTGCGTTATTGGTTTGGAATCAGGGTTTTTTAACTCCTCTAGGTGAACTCACCGTGTCCACCATCCCGGTTAAAGCACCGGACATTCGCTTTTCGTCCTCTCAATTTCGTAAACAACACCCCCACTACGAGAAGGCAGTGAGTAGGACTAACCTAGCAGAGGCTGTATAGGCATAGCCGTGTAAGAGCATTTAGAGAGGGCGGTCCCTCCTCACTCTCGGCCATGCCAGAGCATTTAGGGGCCTTATCAGTGTAACCGTTGAGAATACATCAGTGTGGATCGACGATTGAATTTTCAACAGTATTGATTTGATTACTAAGCACTCATCTACCTAGTGACATTGCAAAAAGATATAGACTTAGGTATGGGCAGTTGATAGTTTAAGGCTAAGACCATTAATGAAGTAAAATTTAGCCGAACATGAAAAAAATACAATCACTTGTTGAAAATTAATTTTTCTGTAAACAGGCAACATAGCATTCTTTTTTACTAGACCAATTTTGATTTAGATAACTAGGTAGTAATATTAGCCTTTCCACGAAAATTTGCTTTGAAAATGATGACCAGAACCTTTAGTTAGCTGCTAAGTTTTATTACAAACTATCTACATATGGTATACTTATCAATTCCAAAAACAGGACTTTTCGATTTTTTTAAATGACATAAATGTTTTGCTACACTTGTTCTAACTATCATTAGATTATTATCCCTAAAAACAACTGTTAGTTATGAAATAACGATAAGACCAATTGCTTAGTATAAGTAACGTTTGCAAAATTTGTTTACATAGGACTAGAAGTACTTATTGAGTTGAATTTTTTGGCGATCATCATGGTTTCGAATACATATGGTACAAGTTCGTATACTGAACTATAATTTGGAATGAGCGTATGCTGAGAAAAATTATGTTACTTAACAGCACAGAAAGAATTAAGTAGATTGCAACTGACTTAGGTGCGAGAACCATTGAATCATTTTTTAAACATACTTTGATAACGGTGTTATATTGAACGAATGGGCACAAGACCGTATCTGTTGATTTTGATTTTATCTGTTTATTCAATATCTAAGGAATTATTTCCATTCAAAATTATTAGTAAATATCGATAAATTATATTTTGCAACCATGTAATGGCCATCTATAGGATGAACTAGTTCTATGTTGACTGGATTTGATTGATTTAAGGGTACAGTATGATCAGCGCTTAGCAATGTGAAATAAGATTAATAGTAAAGTCTCCAGTTTCAACACTCAGTAACTCAGGTTCAAATATTTGTAGGGTAATTTTCTTTGAAACGGTACAATGCTCCCAATTAGTATCGAAAAACTGTAAACACAAATTAAATAAAGATTTTCAGTGGATGTCTAAACATAAAGTACGAAGTAAATAGTATGCCACTAAATGAAAGTAATTTCAAATGAAAACTGGAGGAGTGGATTAATATCAGGGATCTAAAAGACAATTAATTTGAATTTACCTGAAATCGACTTTTCATATGTTCAAATGTATTGATGAATGGAACAGACTGATGCCACGATCGTCCATATAAGCATCTCTTTATTAAAGAACTTAGAACACAATATCCAACAATGAAAGCTAAACAACTAAATTAAGAAAGGCACACAATGATACGAACATAAAATGAATGGTGCAGTGTTTATAAACAAAATATATTCTGAAATTATTCAGACCAAAAAATATTGCTTATTAGGATACATCTAGAATATATACTATGTTATGCCTATATAAAAGTAATTACACAATATCGTGAATATTTTTGGGACCAGGCTATGCTGATATCTTATATGCAAAGTAACTCTTGTTGAGACTCGGTAAATGCGAATAACTATTACTATCATTATTATTATTACCGATATCACTATATACAGAAGCCATGTTTGACGTTCATCTGGACTTTTAACGTAACCCCTAAAAAGTCTACGTTCATTTCCCTGGGATTGGTGATTTACAGTCTCTCTTTTTGGTTTGAAACATGCTTTGGTTAGTTTATATTGATGTCGTTTTTAGACTTACTAGTAACAAAAAGTACACTGTCATAAATATCCTCATTCAACTCTCGGTTCTACACCGTCAGACCAGTGATGCTAAGCATCGCAAAGTAAACTGGAACATTAGACTTTGCGGATACAAAATAATGGCATTACGGAATCCATATTAAGATTTTCACTGAACACTTCAGCAACTAAAAACGGAACAGCAGCCTACTTTTCAACTAGTTAAAAGCATTACTACAATAGTACGACCAAGTTTATTTGTTCACATAATCAGATACGGTCACACACATGGACACATTTGATAGTATTATAGAAATTTATACATTGACTTGATACGATAAGTCTTCTTCAATATAATATAGTACATAACAATTAATGAGGATTGAAAATTAGTAACAAAACATGATATATTTTAGTTCTCGACAAAATGTTTATTCAAAATATGTACTGTGATCTTTAGTGTTCATTTTCTCAAAGATCCGTGGCATTAAACCAAGAAAGTTATGCTTAGTTAAACCTCATGAATTTGAAAACTAAGAACCGAGAAGTTGCTAAATGCGTTAGAGAAAAGTTAACTTTGTAATTTTTATACGAACAAAAGCCACAAACGTACCATACAAGAATGACAGTGAAAGTGTACTTCATAGATTGTTGAACAGAACAAAGACTGGGATGGAACAAATCAAAACTGTAGGACTTATCGTTTTCATGACTGATGAGATGAAAGGCTGCCTACTAACAGTTAGAGTTCTTGGTGCTTGATCTTACCATACTACCACACCCAAGAATTAAGTCTGTTATAATTTCTGAATCATTGAACCTTACCAGATGTCGATCACCTGCCAATAAGTTTCAATAATTTAACAGTACCTTTGTTAGAAACGGTAAAATTAGTGAATGATCCTAATTCCACAACACTGGCTTCGCTAACTGCGATAATCGATTGATTTAATGATATTGATGAATTTTCCTCCGTTTTGAAACCACAAACGCTAAAATAATAGTCCGCTTTTTCGTCAGACTCATCGGAAAATCTGTAGCAATTTTCAAAACGAAAGAAATATCTTACAAATGCCCAACAATTCCATGAAGAAATGAAGCATTTTCCGACAACACACAGTTTTTGACGGCATAAACTACCGATGTATTTTTATCACCACTGCAAAGGTGTGCGGAACACAAGAAGGCAAAGTACATAAACTGTAGATACTTCCCCGACATAGTAAACAGAATCAAATTATCGGCATTCCGAAGTAACGCAATATTCAACTAGCCGCTTACAACTTTAGTCTTCAGTAATAAGGATAGTAGGTTGGTGAACCTGTGTTAGTCCTGACAGATTGCTTTCCAGCGAAGGTTCAGCTTCTCCTTGAAAATATTCACTGATAAGGCTGATACCACTTGTTCGAATAAGGCGTTCCAATCATTGACTACTTGATGAGAAAAACGGGACCACACTTTAAGTTTATTAGATCGCGGTTTGTGAACCTTCTCGCTATGACCTCGGAGATTATTAGCGCTAGACGGAGCAAAAAGACAAAACATATTAACACCCAAATCATGATTAAAGATACGAAATGCCAGTATAAGGTCACCTCGCGTCCTACAATACTACAAGGGGAAAAGGTCTAAGACTTTTAAACTCTCATTATTAGAAAGTTTAGAAAGATCCTTCACTAATTTTGTTCTTACACACTGAACACGCTCAAGCGAATTAGTATCCCTTACCAGACATGATCTATCGGCTTGGACACAATAATTTATATGTGGTCTTACATAGGTGGGATGTAAAATTCGAAACATCTCCACGTCAAGAGATTTGAACGTTTGGCGAAGAGACCATAGCGCACGAAAACCTTTGACAGCGTCTGCGTTGCAATGCGTAGTTGTTTCTAAGTCATGACTTATTATTACTCCTAAGTCTTTATGTTCTTGAACGCATGGAAGAGGTTTACCATCAATAGTATAATAGTGACTATTACAGTGACTGATGTGCATGAGCACTCTTCCTAGAATTGATTTCTAAGCCCCAACCTCGAGCCCATCTAACTAAATCGTCCAAGTTAGTTTGCCGAATAAAATTATCAGCCTCACTTTTTAGTGTTCTCCAGATTTTTATGTCATCCGCAAACAATAATTTGGACGACTCAAGCAACAGCGGTAACTCGTTGACATAGAGAAAGAAGAGCAGAAGGCCTAAGATGGTGCCTTCAGGTACACAACTTTCAACCAGCTTTCAATCGGATAGCGTTCCATTGGTCCTAACTCTCTGTTTGCGGTCAAATAAGAAGTTTCCTATTCACTCATGTACAGTACCTATTATTCCGAAGCTCGTGAGCATATGTATAAGACCTAAGTGTGAAACCTTGTCAAATGCTTTGCTAAAATTTTTGAATATCACATCGACAGACCGACCTTTATCTAAGTCTGCTGTCTAATCCTCTTTCGAAATAAGTAAGTTAGTCAAGCATGAATGCATGTTACGAAATCCATGTTGCTCAGGAGCTAACAGGTTGTGTGAATCTATGTGAATTGGCAACCTAATCCGAATTATCTTTTAAAGTAGCCTAACGACAATGCTATTTAGACTGACAGGCCGGTAGTTAGATAAGATCTGTCTCTGACAATCCTTAAATATATGACTGGCTACAGCGTCTTTCCAATCTCTTGGAAGTTGAGCGAAGGAGAGGGACATGTTGAAGAGTGTCGCGAGTGATTTTAAAATAATGTCCACAAGAGATGTTAGCAGCCGTGGATGTAACCCGTCAGGGCTCGGTATCTTACAAGGTTTGAGGTTAGTTATCAACGGAGGGACAGTTTCCTCAGTCACATGCACAGATTCAATGGCTGGTATCTCGATGTGATTGGGACAAGTATTTGTTACAATAAACATAGAGTAAACTTCGCTAAAATAGTTTAAAAAGTCTCAGCTTTCGCACGATCTGATTCAGCTAGTAAATCTGAATTTTCGCGTAACAGTAACACGGGAATAACATCACTACGTTTCGTTAGTCGTTTAACAGCCGTTTCGGACAAGTATGGCTATCATATAACGACTGTCGTTCGTAAGTAGTACGGGATATAGTTATGGTCTTTTTACAAGTAGTTCGGATTTCGTTATATTCACACTTAAATAATGCGTGACCTGTCAACAAAAATACGTCCCAGAAGTGTTTCTTACGCTTTAACTGCTTTCGGGTTTTCTTATTGATCCATGGAGGGCAATGTGATAGATTACATGCTGACCATGGGATAAACGGAAACATTACGGACTTGAATGTAGCCTTGAACTTATTCCATTAGACTTCGATCGATTCATCCGCGTTGACTGACCAATCAGTCGAGATAGCACAGTCTCTGGTTGCCTGAATATTAGCTCGCCAGATACTGGGACAGATGTTTGAGCAGTTAAAAACTGTATATCATGTATCCTAAACTTAAAGTGAAGTACAGCGTGATCGCTGTTCACTAGTAGGGGGAAGGTGCTGAATATTAAAGACATCCTTACAGTGGTGGATGAGGGCGAGGTCCAGCAGTGACGGATCATGTTTCAAGTCAATATTTGTCGGTTGTGCGATATATTGTACAAGTGCACACTGAACAACGGTTCATAAAAGGTCGCTGTCGAAACCACCACCTAGAGCCGTAAGCTCTATCCAGTTGATATGCGGTGCGTTAAAGTCCCCAATGGTGAGAACAATCCACCATACTCCAAGAACAGACGTGTCTTAAGATAAAGTCGTCAGCAAGACAATATGGAGTACGGTATTTTCCCCCTGTAGTCGCTAACCCATTTCTAGATTTAATCTTACATCATTCTACCTCACATGTACCACTAACATGAGCCTCCGATATGATTGATTGTATGCGAAAGCGATCTCTAACGTAAAACATCATGCCTCCCCCTTGCGACTTAAAACTCCATCAATTTTAATACACATATAGCCTGCAATGATGGGAGAACATTCTACATTTATGGTGAACTAATTTTCTGTAACAACAATTATATCGGGACATAAATAATCCACCATCAGACATAGCTCAGAAGTTTTGTTTCTAAGACTACGGACGTTTGTGTAGCACACACTTAAGGTGTTTTGGGAATCATTCGTTTTACCCATATAGGCCTCGGCAGCGTTGGCTTCCAAGACCTGACTACCCGAAAACACTAATGGTAAGGTTTGTTTCGCCACTTGCGATTTCTTGAATCTGTTAGAGCATTCTTTCACTTGATTCGATCCTCAAGCGGCCAATTAGGTTAGATGCGAATATTTGAATCACGAATTTTTTGTGCGTCTTTCAATAATATATCTCTTTCTTCAAAATTCCCAAGAACCAGCTTTAAGTCGTATTACCTTCGTGCTATGTACCCCTGAAACCTCTTCAGGTGGTACATTTATTACCACAGATTCCACTAACCGCAGATCGTGTGCATGTCTTTTAGCAGGGTCATTGTCTTTCGACCCCTATAGATTCCAAATTATTATACTAGGAAGGGATTTAGTTTCTTTTGAAATCGTGCTCACGACTTTCGGTCGTGATGTAAGATCCTGAATATTAACTACTGGCATCTTACACTTAGTTTTTATTGTAACATAGTCATGGGAGTCGAGCGAGTGACTCACAACAATGTTTGATGAGGCTTTACTTTGGGACTTCGGCGGAGTAGTCTGTGGGTCCACCAATGCCTTTTCAAGTAAACGGGCATTAATTTTAGCTTGAAGATTCGAAATTTGACGACACTTTAACCAGTAACACCTTCTAATATGAAGCGTACCCACCAAGTGAAATCAAAGGACAGAAGCGAGGAGGTTCAAAGATATATTTGATAAGCTATCAATACATCGAGGACCGTCTAAACTAACCTGGCTAGCGATTGCAGTAGATGTTGAGCACGGCGTTCACACACGTGATCTGGTGCGGATGCCTGACCGAGCGCCTTCAGCTAGATGAGTCCATTAGAACTAATGTGGTCAGCATCCAATGTCGAAAACTTGCAGAGTTATTTACTTTGGGGATTTGTTCACCGCTACAAGCTATCTTTCCTACTCTGCTGCTCTACACGACATTCGTTTTCCATCAGTCGTAGCATCTACATCATCACTGCTCGGGACAGTAATTGTTTTGTCTGGATCACCGGTCGCTACTGTAGCAACATGACCATCAATATCTAATGACGTGTTGCACATTGATTGTTTCGGGGTAGGACGTTCAAGTGTGGGTTGCGCAGTTAGATGTCTGGCTCATGCCGTGACAGCACTTAAGACACTGACTCAATCATCGTCTTCAGTACCCATGTTACTGGTACAGCCCTCGTCAACCTTCATATTAGCCAACTCTAGGAGGCTAATTGCTTCCTTGATGAGTAATGTTTTGCTCGAGCAACAAAACATACAAAGCCAATGAAACTCGGGTGTGGAGAACCTTTTATATGCAGTGGGGCTTAATCGGGTGCACATCTTATGGAACCACTTATTACACTCATCACATTGCGTCCCTTCCTCCATAGGGAATAAGCAATATAGATGTCCATATTTATGAGTAGAGCTGGCCATCTTGAAAATCACCTACAATGGTGACACAAACAGGATATGTAAAAGAATTATCAAACCTTAACTCAATAAACCAAGTAAAAGTCGATTAAGTATGCTTTGATGCAATAAACACACAAAAGCGAAATCAAAACACTCAATACAGTATCACTTTAACTGGAGTAGATTCAATTAAAGCGTAAACAGTAGTTCTGATGCGTAATTTACGATCAAGACAGTTAATTTAACTCAACGAGAAACAATACCACTGTCCTTTAAGTAGCCCTCACTAACTGGATACATTATCATTCAGATAAAACAGGTAGACAGTTATGAAATGTGTGGGACAGTAAATGCGCTTGCCAGTTTCAGACATATTACTGATTAAGTAATTGCATGAAAGACACAGTACTCATCAACAAGTGTGAAAAATAATTAGTACGGTAGGAAAACAATTTCTGCTGTTTTCGCGCATGTGGAACGTATGAACTTTGAATCGAACGTCGTGTGATACAGATTATTAATCTATAGAACAGCTTGTGACTATCTTCGATCATATTATTTACATACCAGGCAGGCTATAATAGATTCTTCAACAATAGTTTCAAGTCCATGTTCTTCAGAAAATGTTATACAGTAGCAAACAACAGTAAAAAAAGAGAAAGGACATACTTTACGTTAATAGCAACG